TCGTCGAGATAGAGCCAAGTTCTATCTCGACGATCGAATTTTGCCAGCGGCAATGGCCGACGATTGTTTTTTTTAATGGAAACCGGGAATCGGGCGATTCGATGATTCAACGCACAATAAAAATTATTCATACCATGAATTTATACTAAAATAAAACCAAAATAAGCATGCATTTCTAATTCTTCTAATAAATAAGCATCAATCATCGAATGCTGCTCTTATAACGGACATCCTTCAATGATTTATGACTGACGTTTATGCTTAAAAGCTCAAGAGCAGCTCAAAATATTTTTTTCAAGCTTTTAGATTATACAGATTTTTAAGCAATAAACCATCTGGGCAGGTCTAGACGACGTGTACCTGCTATAGGAGGAATGTATATATATTTGTTGTGTCTTAGAAGTAAATTGTCCATTGTTTTTTTTTTTGGTCCCGCTATATTCGAAGTGCGCGCAAATTTTGCCTAGTGCCCATGTTTTTTTGGATGTTTTGACGATTGGCGATCATTTGGAAATCACGGGTATTTCAAAATTCTTTGACAGCTTATCAAGTGGGCTTAATTAGAAAATTGAGTTTTTTTCCCACGAATGACGATTCGACGATTATATGGAAACCGATCTTAATAAAGGTGGTCTCTCCTAACGTCATCGTATGATGCCATGAATGTATACAACTGAATCCACAACCACATTTGAAATAAGATTTTTCTGTCTAGAACATATTGAAATAAGCAGACATACTTAAATAAACAGACTTCTCTTAAATAAACAGACATATCAACATACCATCATATATTCACAACTAAAGAAAAAAGACAAAAGAACTACAAACAACACCAAGACTACAACAACACAGTCTAATATTAACATAAATCATATCCACAATACACCAAAACCCATGGCAACGCATTTCACCTTATCAAATCACATTAATCCACCTGCTAATCCAATTAGACGCTCTAAGCGTTTACAAGCTAAAAGCAACTGTAAATAGACAACTTCCTTGTTCTGAAAAAGGCTCGAAACACCGAGTCGAAAACTCAATAAAAATCATTTAAAAATCCGGAGAAACTTTTATTTATCAGCATCTATGCCTGGATTATCAATTTTCAAACTTACTTAAATAAGCATATAACGTTATACGTGACTAGCTCAGCTTAAGCTTGATAGATAGGAAACCTCTCACAAGAGTTTTCCTATATATTTCTTAGATGATTTCATAAACAGTAATTTATAGCTTGCTACTAAACTAAATTAAGCGTCCAAGTGGCAAACACGGAAGCTTGACAAAGATTTATTGAAGATTTAATCTTGCTTAATGAGAAGGCCATAATGACATTTTGAAACTGATAACTATAAACATATTTTTTACTTTTAGAAACATGGCCCAGCTCTTCAAAAACTTGTAGAAGGACTTCTTCTGCACTGCTGTCAATTGCTAAAAAGGTTGGTTGTGCAAAATATATTTTATATTCTATCATCAAATGTGAACTTCATAGCAAGCACCTGGCACATTTGTATTTATACGGCTTGAATTATTGAAATGGCGTAAAAAAAGTAACGGGAAGAGAGGCGAAACAGGTTTGAGTGGGAAACTTATAATTCATTGCATTACAACAACAATATGCTTCGAGATAATTATCGACTGTGATTTGTGGATAGCCATGTTTGTTTGTGATATTGCACTGTAGCTAAATACTGAAAAGCAGTGAAAGCCAAATGGCAAACTATTTTTCGATTAAAAAAAACATGGCGGCTGTTTTAAATAAACCATGAAGTAAACAAAGAATTCCACAATTTCAATCATGCGAAATTCAAGAATTGCAAAACAGTGCGAAGAATAAAAATACAACAATAAGTTGTGTTTTTTTGGTGAATGTTTATAACAGCAGATGGTTTTTTCGAAAGCGATAGAGAGTTACGAAGCGATACGAAGCAAAAAAGACGGCGTTTTGAGAATAATCTCAAAGTATACTATCAGCAAGTACAAACATATTTTCTCGTGCAATTAGAAAAAAAGGTTTGTTGGCAAAAAGTGTAGAACAAATTCTCTGGGAATTTAGGAATGTGTAAATACTACAAATACGAGCTCAAAGACATAGGGATCGTTTGAATCCTAAGTTTAAACCAATCCCCACCCCCAAGACAGTTTTATATGGAAAAAAGATATACTTCACAGGCAAAAATTTGATCAAACATACATGAGAAAACTTCGCACTACAAAATCTCATATCCATCGAAAAGCGCATCATCACATTTTGCACTTCTTAATTTGGGTGACCTCCAAGTGTGGCTGTGCAAACTTAACCTGCGTACGGCCTTATCCCTTTCCCTGTTTGCGTGCCCTAGAACTGTGGGCATTCTATGCCAGGTTTTGCATCTCAAAATTCTTTATCCATTTTATACTGCACTACCAGGGCATGATCAATAAACAAAAAATTTTCAAAAATCTGCTCATGTCGTTTTTGTCAATTTATTAATAACAAAAGTTTCCATAATATCAGTGTACGCCATTGGTAAATCTTTCTTTTAATTGTGCTGAAGTGAATAAAACAAGATCAAGATGACTTGATATAAATGTAGATTACAATTGGTTACATAATTTTAAATTTATATATATATATCTATGATCGTAATATTATATAAAATACAAATGTAAACTGATGTAATTTAAAATTACTTTTGAATTAACTTGTTAAGCATAACTACGATAATCATAAAATGCATTTAAACGGTTGTTTGCATAAATCAAAAGAACTCATATGTAGTTGTTCCATGTCAATTATCCCATGAGCCTGCTTTTAAAAATTATTCCTGTAGAGTATTAACGTGAATCACTCGCGAGGATGTCTAGTTTTAGCTTTAGTTAACCTTTTCAGATATAACTATATTGCCATTTTAATTTATCGTGTACGACGAGTTTAAAAGAAATTCAAACAACTGTCTTCATCATCTCTAATGCAGGTGTGAGTTAACTTATGCTGTCTGATGTGTCAATAAATAGATATTGTGTGTATTTACTGTGGTATTGCAGCCTTCGCATTTTCATACTCGTGCTTGATATCATGAATTTCATTGTATATGTGATAATTGTCTTCATCTTTCCCAGAACTTGTCTCTTTCCCAAGCATTTCTATTGGTGTCACATACTGTTCGTCAACAATGTATGGGTTATCGTACGTATTAGGCATTTCTTGACTTCCTTTGTCGTCGGGATTTTCTCTTCTCGTGATTGTTTTGTTCCGACAACGAAGGAAATAGAAAATCATCAAAATATCACAACACAACTACTGGATACAATAATTATGACAAGTAAGGTCACACTGAACGAGCCTTTTTTAGTAGATGTAGAGCTGGGTGTAGGTCTTTCTGTAGAGTTAGATGCAAATGAATAGATTAAATCAACATCATTAAGTTTGCATTATACATCAAACATATATATTATTTCACAAAACTTATGATTTAATTTCTGTCAACAACCGACATTTTCCACTCATTTTATTACGCAGCACTAAATATTCACTTCATATATACTTCTGCTATTTTACCAGAACCACGGTTGTTTTTCTTACTTTAGATTAGAACCTTTAGATAATTTCTAGTCTACCCTTCAATTTATTAAAATAACAAGCCGGCACTTTGAGGACTTGTAACACTTATTGTGTGTTTTATGACTGAATTAGAGCTTTGCAAAATCTGTTGTATGGATATTTATGATTTTTAGAACTTACGAGACTTACAAAAACAAGCAATAATTGCATATACAGTGTATATTAAAAAATTCGAATCCAACTTTGTTAGACTACTGCCATCAGCATATACTTAAGTGAAGAATGTAATTTTTACATGGTCATAAAGAATAACCCAGTAGGTTCCTGTTTATACCCCTTTCGTGTCGATTCTATCAAAATTGTCTATGTAATCTTCCGTTCTAATTTTTCGCTTAAAATAAAATTTTTCCGCCGATGGGAATTCTAAGTGGGACACGATGAACAAAAGATAATGCAAATTTAATCATTTAAGAAGTTGTTTTTGAATAAAACATACATAATTTTGCAATAAAAAGTTTAAGATCGGGCCATATCCTATTCCTTCAATAAGTCCTTCATCTCTGTCAATGCATGTTTGACAGCGTCGAAGGATGCCTTGAGCTACTTATCGAACCATGGCCGGATTGGTTGCCACTTGGAGCAACTTCCTGACGAATGCAAGCTTGAAAGTCGTTCAGGTTATTTATATGACTCGAAAAAACTTTGCACCTCAAGTGCTCCTAAAGGAAAAACGTCACAAGGTGTAAGGTCAGGCCGATCGAGGTGGCCACGCAAATTGCAGGGTGCATCGCGATGACTCGATTACCAGACAACTCTCTCGGGCGAGCAGTAACAGCACGGAGATGATGCCGTACGTGTATCATGCATTGATGTAAGAATGTAACATCAAATCTAATCGGGTGATCCTGTTAAAAGTGGGTAAGCTGCTACGTCTAGCACTTGTACCAGTTGGGGTGTACAGCAAACCTATTTCTCACCAATTCAATATTCTCAGCAGATCTGCCAGTCCAACGTTTGTCAGAGTTCCCTTTGTTACGAATTAGGTTTGCTCCATTCTGCTCAAACTTTCGCACATCGTACCAGATGGTACTGATTGCCATGCAGAACTTGTCGTTTCGGAAATCTTTCCCTGAACTGATTGCGTGTTTCTTGTACGCTACCAGTTTCAAAAAACGTTTTCGCAAGAAATGTGCGTTCTGCTATGTTTAAATAAAACATTGGGTTTGTAAAACATACGATACAATAAGAAGTTAAATTTGTATTTTACTCTGCGATGATTAGCATTTGAAAGCCTTGTAGGACTAAATTTAAACGAAAACAATGTAATTCCCATCAGCGGAAAAATGTGATTTTTATCAACTTTATTAGTCGAGGAAATACTCTTTCATTTTGCAACTGAAAGATTCGTACATAATGCATTGGAAAGGTAAATAAATGGACTTAACAAAGGTGCAAAAACCAAACGTCTTTCCTATTTTTTTTATACACCCTGTATAGCAAGCTGTAATCATTCACATAACATTAGATGGTATATACCTATCACAATCTCCACCATACGTTTTTCTCAAGTCGTCACATTCATATTCAAAATATAGTTCTTTGTTATTACTGGAATCAGAACATGGAGCAGGGGGAGGAAACAAATTATCATTGACAGTTATGTCACATTCCTTTTGACCATCACAAAGTCTTTTCAGATGACAGGTTGCATCGACAAAACAATTTTTGTTCTTGCTTAATCTGTATGATGCATTCTTCACTCTCATGTATTGGTCTTTACCACAGTTGGCATTTCTTATACTTTCTCCAGAACCTATCACTGAACCTATAATACATAAAAGAAAAGCCGCTAATAAAAAGCGCCACTCTGTTAATGATGACGCCATTGTGCTACTGAGAAAAATGCTTACTCTACTTGTCCATTCACAATAAGTTCAATATTTTCTTTGTTGTCAGTGTATCATTTCGTTCGTCATTAAATTTAACCTAGTTTATTGTGTGTTGATACAAGGTGCATATGGGACAACTGTGAATGATTCTTTCATCCTAAGTTATACCGGACGGTATGTTTGTTCTTTTCAAATTCTTACGACATAAACGGTATGAAGAATTTCAAGGGTTATTCACAAATGCAATAATATCACTACAATTTAGCAAGTAGATTGCAAACATATCTCCATACTTCATTATTGTATAATAAAACTTTCTTCATGAGCAAGAAAAATAATGAACTTACCAAAATGAAAGCGTTGATCATTCATTTCACTACAGTCATCGAGAATTGGATAGTCGTCGGGCAGTCCCCCAAATCGCACACATTGAATCTTTTGACTATACCAAATCGAGAGAGCTCCATGAGAAGTCTGGGTTATTTTATTTTGCTCAACACAAGTGGAGGATTTATCAATGTTGATAAATAGAAAATGAGAAATGAGGAATCTACTATCTCCACGAAGGCATCCTGGCCGATGGAGACTTTGGATGGCGCCATTGGTTAGAAATTTAAAGTCACCTGACGTACCACCGCATTTATCACGAAATGCAAGATAATAAAAATTTGGGTAAAGAAATACCGAGTCATCGATATCACATAAATACTTTCCAGTATCAAGATGTTTCAAGAAAAAACCATTGGAACCTAACGTATGAGAAGATTATGAAGTTAACACTTTTCAAACAATCAATAGAATATACGATGCGATAGGACATTTGGTATTAATGCATGGGATATCGATTCATGATTTAAGTCTTTTTCACATAATAAAAAATGTATAAAGTTGAAGATAAGCCATGATTTAAAATGTAATTAGGATTATATTGTATTTCACTTGTAGTAAAAGAATCAATTCTTACTGTTTTCAGGAATGACTGTAGAGCTAGGTGTAGCACCGACACTAGAGCTGAGGGTAGGACTGACTGTAGACATTAATGTAGTAATGATTGTAGGGCTGGATGTAGGACTGTCTGTCGAGCTGAGTGTAATGATTGTAGAGCTAGGTGGAGGGCTGTCTGTAATGCTGAGTGTAGGAATAACTGTAGATTGGATTGTAGGACTGACTGTTGGTATAAGTGTAGGTAGTATTGTAGAGCTAGGTTTTAAATCGCCTGTAAAATTAGATTTAAAAGCAATTAAATTAACATTTTCAAAATTTCGCTATAAATTTTATATAAAACCATAAGAATTTGAGCAAGTTTATTGCTCAAGAGCCATGATCTATAAGAGGACATACGCACGGAATTGACGTTATGGGAAATTTCTTGTTGTTTAACTACAAACGAACAGCAAAATTATTTGAATACTTTTGCCTGAATTTATACCTGAATGGGCGAATGAAGACATTAAGAAGATTTGGTCTAAGCAGTTAAGCAAGAAAGAAAAGAAAAAACCTGGTTTTCAAACTTTGATTTGTTCTTCGTGTGAAAAAATCACAATCGCACATTAAAATTGATGAAAGTATGGAATCGACAAACTATGCATTATGCGATAACACTTCAAGACATAACATTAGATGGTGAATACTTACAATTTCCATTAAATGTTTTTTTATGCTGTGGCATTCATATTCAAAATAAAGTTCTTTATTATCATTAGATTCAGAACATAGAGTAAGGCGAGGGAATAAATTATCATGGACAGTCTTGTCACATTTTTTTTCACCATCACAAAGTCTTTTCAGATGACAGGTTACATCGACAAAACAATTTTTATTCTTGCTTAATCTGTACGATGCAGTCTTCACCAGCATGTATTGGTCTTTACCACAGATGGCGTTTGTTATTCTTTCTCCAGAACTGATCACAGAACCTATATAGATAAAAGAAAACGCCTAAACAAAAAGCGCCAATTGGGACACTCCGTCAATGATCATATCAATCTACAACTGAGAGCTCTTATTTTATTCGTATTCTTTGTCATAAACATCTTGAAGTAAATCATGCATGATTTTAATCTGAGAATATTGCCACATGTTTGTAGATGTTGATTGTCCAGGTAAGCTTAACCCTGAGAACTCAAAACGTCTTGAACGGCTGTTGGTGATAATGTTGACTGACATTTTACAACCGTAGTGGTAAGTAATCTTCAGATTCAACATCAACACCGACAGTCGTTTTCAGACTTCACTAACCAGGACGAACAAAATCTATTTGCTTATGGCTTCTTTCGCAAAAATTAACTTGCTTTGTTGCGTGTCTCCTATATGGACCAACCGTGATCGATTATTTTATCCTAAGTTATATTGAGGGGGGAGGAGGATATATTTATAAGCTTTATAATCTACGACGAAAACCACATGAAGAATTTCATAAATAACTTACCAATGTAATAATATCACTTTAATCCAGCAAGTACTTTGCGAAGATATCGCCAAATTTCATATTTTATGAAAAAGAAATAATGAACTTACCAAAATGAAAGCGTTGATCATTCATTTGACTACAATCAACGAGATGTGCGATGTCTGGATTTTTGGTGAGCAATTTGCCTAATCGCACACATTAGATCTTCTGATTATACCAAATGGAGAGAGCTCCATGGGGAGTCTGGGTTATTTTATTTTGTTCAACACAAATAGAGGAATCAATGTTGATGAATAGCAAAGGCGAGATATTAAAACCCTTTTTGTCGCCTTGAAGGCATCCTGACCGATGGAGACTTTCCATCGCGCCATTAGTTTGAAATTTAAAGTCACGTGATGTACCAAAACAATTTTTATGAAATGCCAGATAGAACAAATTGGGGTGAAGAGTTACCGTATCATTAATATCACACATATACTTTCCTGTGTCAAGATGTTTTAAGAAGAAGCCATTCGTACCTGAGGAAGAAGAAGATTATGAAGTGAACAACTATTAATCAATCATTGAAATATACAATGTGATTAGACGAAAGGTAATCATGCGTGTGATTATCGATTCGTCATATAAGTGATGGACATCTATACAATATTTGAAAGTGGAGTACAATGCAGCAAGAAGATTGATAATTGAGAAGAAATGACTATTCATACATGCTTGATATGCAATGCTGAGTTCCTTTGAAATCTATTGTTTTCCATGTGTTACAACTCTGTCACTGAATACAAAACATATAAAGTTAAAGATATACCATGATGTAAAGTATAATCAGGATTACATGATTCTTCAGTAGTAGTAAAAGAATAAATTCTTAGTAAGAGCAGTGTTAAGCTCCTTTGAAATCTATTGTTTTCCATGTGTTATAACTCTGTCACTGAATACAAAACATATAAGGTTAAAGATATACCATGATGTAAAGTATAATCAGGATTACATGATTCTTCAGTAGTAGTAAAAGAATAAATTCTTAGTAAGAGCAGTGTTAAGTTCCTTTGAAATCAATTGTTTTCTATGTGTTATAACTCTGTCACTGAATACAAAACATATAAGGTTAAAGATATATCATGATGTAAAATATAATCAGGATTACATGAGTCTTCAGTAGTAGTAAAAGAATAAATTCTTTGTATGATTAAATCATAGACTGAAGCATCATAAAATTTGATGACATATCAAATCACGTCCTTAGATTGCATGCAGAAAATCCTATACCACACCTAATGAAGACGGTAACCTTGAAAATCAGACAACTTTAGATAATACAGAATAAAACAAATTCCAAAAACAGACATCTCGTTTTCTTGCCTACAACATAAGTATTCATGTTTTGTGAGATGGGATCTGATTGTGATATGTTTTATTCATTTAAAAATAACGAATATATTAGCATACACATGCAGTTGTATTGAATCAACAAAAATTGTAAAAAATTTTTCAACTTCTTATTTAGCAAACGCTATGAATTGATTCTTTTACCACCTGGGAAATATCACGTGATCCTGATCATAGAGATTATAAATAATACTAGAGGCGGCATTATAGACGAATTTAGGCGACACGTGAATTGGGGGGCAAATTTAGGTCCCGGATTAAAATACGAAGTAAACAAATGATGTTTTTGCCGTCTGCTTCGAGTTTTGGATTCTTTTTTAAAATACTGTTGCAAGTTTTTTTGCTCTTTTATATGAGCATCAAGAACATATGTCATTTTAAAGCGTTAATCATTGTTTTTAGAGAGATGTTATTACGATTTTATGTTGTTTATACTGTGGCTTAACATCCGTGAGTCGATTTTGCCCCCCAAAAACGCGTACCATATTTTGAAGTATAGATTATATTACTATGCCGCCTCTAGTATTATTTATAATCTCTATGATCCTGATTACATTTTATATCTTGGTTTATTTTTAACTTTAAATTTTATATTCCGTGACTGACAAATATCGTCGGAATCTTCGAAAGCGCCCACGCAACAGTTTGCTTACTTACTGAATTGCATCTCGTGAACAACAGATTTTCATTCATTACTTTACTCGTTGTTTTACTCGTATTCCACATCTCATGGACCACTGTTGTGAAAAGCTGGATATCTATTTTTCATTTCAATTGAAATATTAATCCAATTGTTGTTCTCAAATTGTCACGAGTGTTGTTTTTTATTGTCGATAACAAATCTTCGAGATTTTGTTTTAAGAAACGAATTTATATACCAATACATTGAACAATTTCGTGAAAGTGATAAAGAACTAAGCATAATCACAATCCTTCATTAAATGCTGATGGCTTTGCATTTTTCACAATGGAGTGATGATATCTTCGTTATGGTTAAGAATTTATGTAGAAACACATGCACTTAGAGTTGATGGAAGAAAACAGTGGCTTTGTAAGCTTTTGACAGATTTCTTTGAATCTTTTAAAAAAGCACAAAATCCAGCCCTTCCTGCCGCTTTGATTGCTGACTGGGTTTGATTAGTAAATCAGAAAATTTTGTAAACAAAATTCAATGATTACCTTGTTCCATTATGACGATAACACATACAAGTTGATAGAAACAGAAAATTGAGAACATTTTGCATTGTGGCATCATGTTGTTGCTGATTTTGTGACTGCTGATTTACTTTGCTGGATATGATGATCTATTGAAGAAAAAACAGGCTAAGCATCTTAAGTAGGCTATGGTTGATTTATAACAAGAATGATAGAAATTTCCGTCCGGAAAAAATACTCGTTTGATTGGCTGTTAAAAGAAGATTATTTACAAATTACAAGTAGAAGTTTTTGCATTTTTCATCATCTAACTGGATTTGCTGAAACAGATGCATCCTTGCCATTGAAACGAAGTCTGTACCCCGTTAAAGGAAAACAATGAAACAAATTAGAAGAACTGATAAAAAATGGATTTGTATTCAATTATTCCTGTTGGGTTTGTTTGTTGAGTGAATAGAAAGAAGCAAGGAAGCGGAAAAAACAGGATGTTGAAAAGCAATTAATAGGAAGTGCCAAGTGATTTATAAAAATATACTGTTATCATTTGCCTTCAACATATAGAATGCATGATGATATTAAACACTTGAAACATGCAACTGTATAGAAAATTGTACAAAGCAGTTGAAGTGGCGTGAGTGGCAAAGTACGACGATTGAAGAGTTATTTACGCAGAAAGCGTTGGCGTTTATCATTAAGAAAGAGCTCTTTCATGTGAATTTTTTTAGCATTTAATAACATAGAAAAGGGTCACGCGAAGTTACTAAAAAGCTGCCAATATCATTGAAATAACAACTTTGATTTGCCAGCACTATTGACTGGCACTTAAGTCAGGTTTAGGGTCATTAAAGTACAATTGTTGGCAAATCAACAGTGTACTGCTTCTACATTACATTGTCTTATTTTTGAAGTAGTGTTGTTCCTCATGATAGTATAGGAGAGCTGTTTGTCAGTGTCGTGAAGTTTTGCTGTTTGTCATTATCGTGAAGTAGACTTGTTTGTTTTTCAATTAAAATATCATGAACATTTGGTATTTTGGTTTATTGACTTTAGTCAATTTTTGCCTCTCCTATAAGTCCACGCAAAAATCACGCGTTTAATGGCTCGTGATCACTCGCGATTTTGATTGCGACGGTACTTTCCGATTAGTTTGTTTGCTGTATGGAAATCAGTATTACATATGTTGTTTTCCCGCGGTTATTTCAAAAATTTGAAACTCGAAGTCAGGCATATGAGATGAACATTAGTTTTGTCAACTATTTTTA